TCCCAAAATAGCTCTTTTGTGGGACTTGCAAGGAACCAAGCACTCTTCTGAATCATTTCGTTTGTTTGTTAAGACTTCTGACCCTCGCAACTTGTTGTGGTATAGGTCCATTTTACAGAGGAGCAAATCAAGGTAGTGGCCCAAACTCAAGCAGATGGGAGAAGTGGCAGAGCTGGGAGAGAGACCCGCCCTCTGGCTCTGGAGCTCTTGCCTGAAAGCCTTCCTTCTCCTCAGCTGTCATATTTCCCTTCGACCTCACGTGCTCACTCGCCAGGCCATCTCCAAGGTGCCCCCACCCCCGCCCCTGACCTGGGGCCTTGGCCTGCACACACAGTCCAGGGAGGGCATGGAATGGAGGGGGTCGGCAGCAGCTCAGTTCTCGCCATCCTCTTGCCACAGACTCCACCGAACCTTCCAAACCGTGCCTGATGGCCTTGGAGTCCAGACCAACGTGGGTCGCCTGGTGTCCAGGGAGGGAGGCAGCTGGGTAGGGTTGGGGTGGGAAGGCGTGGCCGGCTGTGGGGGTGGTGGGAGCACCAGGCGCCTCCCTTGGCGTGCAGAGGCTGCCTGCCAGCGTGCTGGGGGCTGGATGGCTTGGCAGGAGACCGCAGGGACAGCCTCTGACCAGCCCAGCGCGGCCTGGCTGGGTGGGCGCCTTCGTTCTTAAAGGCCCAGCACGCCAGAGGCCTGGGAGTCCGGCTGCGTCCCGGACAGACAGAAGCTGGCCCTGTGGGGCCTGATGACTTGGGCTCCCTGATGCTTGGCACCCTCCCCCCCCACCCCAGCCCCTAGGTTGCACTACTATGTCTGTGCTGGGCCGATCCTGACTCTGGGGGTCTCTGTGTCATCGCCAAGCCTGGGACAAGGCCTGGACATTGGGTGCTTGGCATATATTTGGGGGACAAGCTCTCGGGTTCCCCCTTGACCACAGGCAGAGCGCGTTATCCTGGCACGGGGAGGCCAGTGAGGGCCAGTCAGCTGGCCCGGGTGTCCGAGGAGCACCCCTGGGCTGAATCCCGGAGGGCGAGGGGGACAGCACGCCCAGCACAGGAGGGGTTTCCAGGGAGGGAAGAAGCGCGCCCCCTCCCCCAGCTGCCGTGACCTCAGAAGACTTGATGAACATCCTAATTGTGTGCAGCTGGCCTCCTGGCCCTAACCAGCTCATTATCCTCTCTCATTAAGGAGACCATTGTGGCCTGGTCACCCTGGGGACAGCGGTGGCCTGGGAGAGCCTCTCACTTCCTGCTGCTCTGAGCCAGGCTCGAGCGAGGCCTCTCCTGGGTCCTTCCACCCTGCCTGTCTGCTTTTCATCTGATTCTGGTTCTCCATCTGTGTGCGTGGGTGTGTGTGTTTGCATGTATGTCTGTGCATGCGTGTGTGTACGTGTGTGCATGTGTGTATATATACTGTACTTGTGCATATGTGTGCATGTGTGTCCATGGGTATGCATATGTATGTGTGTCTACATGTGTGTGTGTCTGTGCATGTGTATCTGCCTGCATGTCTCTGAGTGTGCATATATGTGTGTGTGCATTTATGTCCGTGTGCGTGTCAATGTGCCTTTAAGCACATATGCCTGTGTGCCTGACTGCATGTATGTGCATGTATGTCTGTGTGCGTGTGTGTGTGGTGTGTGTGTGTGTGTGTGTGTTTCTTTGTGCATGCTGGGAGTGGGGACAGGCTCTGGCTTCTGGGCCTGAGTCTGTCCTGCGGCTGGCCGACTCTGCCCCTTCCCGGCCCTCCCCGGAGCTGGACTCTGCCTCTCCCCCGGGTTCCAAGCTGCTGACGTGGGCGCCCCTCGGGCCCATCAGCTGGGCCGGCTGCCCTTGCTGTCCCCACTGCTCTTTCTGGGCCTCCGCCTCCCGGGGAGCCAGCCTGGCTGGGGGACACTCTCCTGGCCCTGACAAAGGGGACGTCAGGCTGAGGCGGCGTGCAGGGGCGTGGCCTGTAGGGGGTGTTCTTGGTGACTTCCCCCCTTCCCCGCCCCAGCTGGGGTTGTGTCCCCAAGAGGGCCGTGGGGGGGTCCTCCTGCTGTCCATGCAGCCCTGGGCCCTCTCCTGCACCCTGCAGTTCCCCTGGGAGCCCTCTGCTGCCCACTGGCCTCGGAGGCCAAGTCAGAAGTGAGCACTCGGGGCAAGACTCGGCTGCCAGACTGGGGTGCAGGGTTGTGTCACGGGGTCTCCCAGCCAATCCCACCTCCTGCTGCTCCCCGCGGATCTGCTCCACTTCTGCCCGACTCCTCAGGATTTGCTTGAGGGAATTCTGTCCCCACCTACCGTCCTGCCTGCAGAGTTCCCCAGCGAGACCACTGGGCTTCTCTTTCCTGGGTCGGGAGGCCGGGAGGCTGGCCGAGGAAGGCTCGCGGAGGCTGGCTGGGTCCCGTCTTCCTTGGGGCCGTGGAGGCCAGCAGCAGCTCAGGCTGGTCCTCCTCTCCCTCGTCCTGGACGCTCGAGACCTTGGTACGTGAGGGCACTGGCTGGGGCCAGCCTCCACGTGTTCACTTCATTCTCCTGCTGGCCTGCCAGGTGGACAGTAAGCTTATGGGGCAACTGAGGCTCAGAGAGGCTGTCCCTTTCCCAAGGCCCCAAGCACAGAGAAGGGATTCGGAACTTTTTTCCTTTTCTTTTTAATTGTGTCTGCCACGGGCACTCACTCTGTGCTCTTGCTGGTGTTCGGGGACTCGTGCGGGGGCCAGGGATCAAGCCCAGACTCCTGCGCGTGCCCCGGCCCTTTGAACTAGCTCCCCGGCCCGAGACTCAGGTCTGTGGCTTCAGTCCTTAGGCACTGAGCTCATTTTCAGACTTTCCCGCCCGCGGGAGGTGAGCGCATTTCTCCCCGCCTGCAGGAAGCTGAATCTCAGGAAGCTTCAGGGTCACTCTCAGAATCACGCGGCTCAGAAGCCATAAGCCAGGAGTGGGATTTGTGGCTTCCTGCCTCCTGAACCCTAACCCTGTGCTCGCCCTCCCCGGACCCTCACTTGCCCCCGCGCCTGCTCACAGAGCTTGTGCTGTGTGGCGTGGATATGTCTGTTGACGGGCTCTGTGATAGGCACTAGAATCAGGGTGCCCTCTGCCCTCACAACTTGGTACCTCGCCAACTGTCGGGATGGACCGGGGGCGGGGGTTGGGGGATGGCGCGGTGCAGATGGCACTGGGGCAGCCCCTCTCCCAAATGTACGTTTCTTTGGTAGGAAGTGTGGACACGGGTGATAGGACACCTATTGGGGGGAGGTTGTTTTACATTTTTAATTTGGGGACCACCCCTGGCGGTGCTCAGGGCGTACTCTTAGCTCTGCACTCAGGAGTCACTCCTGGCAGTGCTCAGAGGACCATATGGGGTGCCAGGGATCGAACCTGGCTCAGCCGTGTGCCAAGCAGGCTGCCTGCCCACTGTACTATCTCAGCAGCCCTGGAAAGAGTGTTCTGGAAGGTTCTTGAAAACGAATGCGTGAGTGAGCCTTACCGACTGTGCGATTGTCCGGCGATCCTGCACCCACAGAAAGCCCTTAGATCCATGGGTGCTGTGCCTGCCACGACTGCCGCCCCCATCGTCCACGGCGCAGTCCCCAGCCCTGCTCCCTGCACCCTGGCTGCAGGACAGATGGCACTGTGGGCCTGGCGGACCCCGCCCAATGGGTCTGTCTCTCACCACTCCTGCAGGCTGGCACCCTTGGTGGCAGCTGTGACGTTCGGGCTGCCGATGCCTGGAAAAGGCCTGTCAGCACAGTGGGTGGCACTGCCCCCGGGAGCTTCTCCCCCCTCTCCCCCCCCCCCCCCCGCCCAGCAGGGACGGGTGCCAGGATGCCCGTGAGGTCTGTGGGAGCTGCCCACCGGTGCTGTTCATACCTGTCTGCCTTTGGGGTTCTTCCAAAGCTGAAGGGTCTGAGTCAGGCTCCGGGAAGCCCAAGCGGGCAGGCAGGAGGGACCCTGTGGCCAAGAAGACAGGGAGAGTCTCAGTGTCCAGTCACGGGGCCCAGCCAGAGAGCAGGACCCCCCCCCCCCAGAAGCCCTGCTGGAGTGAAGCAGTGAATAGCAGGGCCCAGGTGCCCCCTGGAGCGTCCCGGCCAGCAGAGGGTGGAGGTGGGGACAGTTGGCACACCCCCAGGACACCCAGGGCGAGAGGCTCAGAGCATCGAGTTTCTGAACCACACAGGGGACTCCCGACGTGTTTGCCACCTGCCTACCTTGGGGAGCCCCAGTTCCTGGGCCTCTTGGGGGGGCACGGGGGGCGGGTTCTATAGCAGGGACAGGGGAGACCTGGGTAGGGACAAGGAGGCACCTGGAGCCAAGGGGAGGGTCTCCGGGCACACCCCTGGAAAGAAAGGGGTGCAATGGACATTCGAGGCTAGAGCGCAGGCTAGTTGCTCTCCATGGCCGGTCAGTGGGGTCAACGAGCCCGTTGTTGAGGTCCAAGTGGATCCCGGCCTTCCCTGTGGTAGCATCATTGTCACGCCATTGTCCTCTGACTTCCTGTCATTGCTGCCTCTGGGTGGAGCGGGGACTCATTGTGTGGCTTGCGGGCTGGAGACAGGCGTCAGCGTCATGTGGCTCTGGGGAGAGAGAGAGAAGGACCAGGAAGATCTGGGGACAGAGGCAGGGTCCTGTGACATGGGCCATCTATCAGGGTCCTAAGGCACAAATGGGGCTGGGGACAGGGTCCAGCGAGGCCTGGGTCCCCTCTCGGTTGGTGTGGCCGAGGAACACATGGACCACGTGCAGAGAAAGGGGGTATGTGCCTTTGGCCATGATTGAGGGCCCCTGAGGCTGTGGCTGTCACCTACAGTCACAGCTGCACGGGCACGTCCAGGGCCACGGGCAGGGTTCCGGTGACCCCCCAATGAGACTGGACATCCGGGGCCTCCGGGAGCCAAGAACGCCCTGCTTGGCCCCCCTGCTTTGAGCCTGTGGCAGCCCCACAACTGCAGCCTGTCTTCTCGGGCCCGGACTTGGTGCCTGCCCCACTGGGCTCTCACACCCGGTTCCCACTTGCGCCCCCTACAGGCTGGTGGTTCGTGAGCACCTCTGAGGAGCAGGGCTGGGTCCCCGCCACGTACCTGGAGGCCCAGAATGGCACCAGGGATGACTCAGACATCGACGCCTCCAAGACGGGGGAAGGTAAGCACCAGCGGGTGGGGGGCGCCGGGGGCTCAGCCGTGGCCCTGCCCTGTGTGTGCCCACGGATGGCCCTCCACACTGCCCTGTCAGGGCCAGCTCCCACGCAGGGCGGCCATGGGGGGATGCTCCCTCCAGGGTGGGCCCCACGGACACTAGGGAGAACTACCTCGAGTGTCCCCCGAAGCGCCCTCTCCCCGTAGCCCCTGGGAGCCTCCAGGGAAGCCCACACAGCCCTTACTTTGCCTCCCCCTTGCTGTGTGGCACGGATGGCCCACATATATCCCGGGCCCATGACCCCCCGTCCCAGACCCTGGGAAGGTTGTGCCAGGAAAGGTCTGGGTGGGTGACAGTCCCAGGCACCTGGGCAGCCTGGCCCGGCCTTGCCACCTTTCTGGTTGGCCCAGCGTGGACGGCCTGGATCCGTGTGCTGGCCGGCTGAGCCAGTGTGTGGCCCAGAGTGACCCTGGTCTCTTCTTCACCCCCCACTTCCAAAACAAGGACAGGGCCGGCCCAGTGAGGGGAGACTGCAGAGGGCTAGAACCAAAAAGTCGTTTCTGCTGATGTCAGGGGCACTGACCGTGGTCCCTGGAGGCACTCAGTGGGCACGTCCCAGGCACAGCACTGCCCCGCGTGGCCAGGCCTGGGCTCCCAGAGGGGCCTCGCTGGCTGCTCCCCAGAGACCGATGGTCCCAAACCCGTGGCAGATGGAGGCAGCAGAGGGGGGCGCCCCCTTCATCACCACTGCAGGACCTACCCTAAGCCCACCCCCCATCCCTACCCTGTTGTCCAGGCCCCTCCGTAGCCCCTCCGGTGTCCGGGGACTGGCCGAGGCCTGTCTAGACAGTGCCCACCTCCCCCCTCAGCCCTCGGCAGCCAGGCTCCTTCCTGCAGCTAGGAGCCCCCTGCCCCGCAGCCCTGCTCAGGCACCTCTCGAACCCGAGCAGGAAGGTGGGGAAACATCAGTTGTGGGGCCACGTGGTCCCTTACGGGCACCCCCAGATGTCCTGAGGGGCCATAGATGAATATAGAATGAATGGAGCTGGGGGTGGCCGGGGGGTTGCACTCACGGGGTTTCCACCGAGGAAGGTTTCGAAACAAACCCTTCTCGTGCCCACCCCGGGTGCCCCAAGATAAAAGGACCCCGAGTCTTCCCTGGGCACTTGTTGGCAAGGGGATGGGTGTCCCGGGCACAGAACTGCTCATATGGCCAGGCCGGGGTCTCCCGAGCTCACAGCAGAGAGCCAGGGCGCCTCCCGGCAGTGCTGGGGCGCAGGAGCCCGAACATTCGGCCGCCTTTGCCGTGGGCTCCGGCCAGCCCAGCCTTGGGGTCTGAGGCTTTGGGGATCCTCCCGGCAGGGCAGCCCGGCCCCTCCCACCCCGCCCTCCCCTCCCATCCTCATTCATCATCTCCATTCTCTCCGCGGTTCCTGTCGGCCACGCGTCCATCGCCTCCTCCCACACCAGTGTCCAAGAGACGCAAAGCCCATCTGCGGCGCCTGGATCGCCGGTGGACCCTGGGCGGGATGGTCAACAGGCAGCACAGCCGAGGTGACCGCGGGAGCCAGACTCTCCCCGCAGCTGCCGCCTGGGCACTTTCTTGCCTCGCCTCACCTCTCCACCCTCCTCACCTCATCTCTCCTCCTCTCCTCACCTCTCCTCCCTTCCTTACCTCCTCACCCCTCCTCACTTCTCCTTAGCTCCTCTCACCCCTCCTCACCTCTCCTCACCTCTTCTCACCCCTCCTCACCTCTCCTCACCTCTTCTCTCCCCTCCTCACCCCTCCTCACCCCTCCTCACCCCTCCTCACCTCTTCTCACCTCTCCTCACCCCTCCTCACCTCTTCTCACCTCTCCTCACCCCTCCTCATCTCTTCTCACCCCTCCTCACCTCTTCTCACCTCTCCTCACCCCTCCTCACCTCTTCTCACCTCTCCTCACCCCTCCTCATCTCTTCTCACCCCTCCTCACCTCTTCTCAGCCCTCCTCACCCCTCCTCACTTCTCCTCAGCTCTCCTCACCCCTCCTCACCCCTCCTCACCTCTTCTCACCCCTCCTCACCCCTCCTCACCTCTTCTCACCCCTTTTCACACCTCTTCACCTCTCCTCACCCCTCCTCAGCCCTCCTCATACCTCCTCACAACTCCTCACCCTCTTCTTACTCCTCTCATTTTTCCTCACTTCTCCTCACCCTCTACTCACCCTCTCCTCACCCCTCCTTACTTCTCCTCGCCCCTCCTCACCCCTCCTTACTTCTCCTCGCCCCTCCTCATCTCTCCTTACCCCTCCTTATCCCTCCTCATCTGTCCTCATACCTCCTCACCCCTCCTCACTTCTCCTCACCTTCTCCTCACCCCTCCTTATCCCTCCTCATTTGTCCTCATACCTCCTCACCTCTCCTCATCCCTCTTTACCCTTACTCACCTCCTCACCCCTGCTCACCTCTCCTCACTTCTCACTCCTTCTCACCCTCTTTAACCTCTCCTCACCTCTCTTCACTCCTCCTCACCTCTCCTACTCTCCTTATCTCTCCTCTTCATCTCTCATCTCCTCACCTCTTCTCACCTTTCCTCACTTCTCACCTCTCCTTCCTCTTGGGGTTTTCCTCCTCCCCCGCCAGCTTACCTGCCACGTTTCTTTCTCGCCTACTGCAGCTGGGGGCCGGTTTCGGGGGAGGCGGGTACCTAGACTGCCTAAAAGTCAGTGTGATGGGGAGGGCAGCATCCAGGGTCACGAGACTTGAGGTGCCGTGCTGGAGGCAGCTAGACGCTGAGTGGCCCCTGAGCTCCCACAGGGTCTGCCAGGCCACCTTCCTGGGCACACCCCCAATCCCCACCCGTGGATACCCAGAGTGGCTCAGGCATGACGTAGGGAGGGTGTGAGGGACAGATGAGTCACGCCCCCTTCCTCAGGCTCTGGGAAACTGCCCTGGAAGGAACAGCCAAACTCCGCAGCGAGCTCTAAGGGGGGAGGCGGGGAGTGGGGGAGCTCCCGACTGTCCCACACCAGCCATCGGGGTGGGGGCTGAGCAAGAGGACCCCGGAGTAGGCACCTGAGGGGACGCAGGACTGAGGCTCGTCCTGAGCTGCCTGCATCCAGGCGTTCGGTGATGGGGCGCAGGTATGAGCCCCCCCGGCCGCCTGTGTGCACCCACAGAGCCACCACGACAGACCCAGCATCAGGGCCAGCTCACCCCCAGGCCCCTTCCGCTGCTGTCCCTGATCGGACCCTCACGCACACCGAACCCCCAGCCGGGGTGGCCTGTGGGGAGCCCGGCCACATGCAGATGCAGGAGCAAGTTCAGGCCCATGGCCTCGCCCGCTGCAGAGACCCAATAACGTCATTTCCCAGCCTTCGCCATATGGGCTGGAAGTTAAATCAGGCAGCCAAGAAAAACTCGCAGAAAGTTGGCAGGGAGCAGAGTTGCTGCAAGCAGGCGAGCGTGTGGGGAGGCGGCGGGGCGCGGGCAGAGGGTCCCAGGGAACCAGACGGGAGAAGAGCCGGGGGCGGGGGCGGCATGGGGTAGGGGGGGATTGCTCCAGCCGGGCCTGGAATCCGAAGGCCCTTTGCAGGGAGTTGGATGAGGTTGTGGGGGCCGGGGCGGGGAGACTGCTGATGGAGAGGAAAGTGTTTGGAAAGAGGAGGCGTCTGTGGTTTGGAACCGAGGGCTCCAGCCCGGGCCTCCGCCGCCACCACGGATGGGAGTGGGCAGGGCCAGCCAGGCTCCCTACGGTGCTGCCGGTGGAGGGGCTTTCTGGAGCCCCCTGCCTCGGCCCCCAGCTCACCAGAGTGAGCCAGCCACCCCCAGGAGCCGCTGGGTGCCACCCCACCACGACCCCCATCGGATGGTATTCCCGGCCCAGGGAGGACGGCTCAACTTCTCTCCCGGGAGGGGCAGTTGTGTCCACGGGGAGCCCTACCAGCAGAAACTGACCACCCCCACCAAGCAGGCCAGCAGGGGAGCCACTGGGGACACGACTCTGCGTCCCCAGGGCCCCGACGTCGAGCTGGGCAGGGGTCAGGCAGGCCTCCAGGCCGACACCCGGTCTCCCTGCCAGCCTCAGGGTCACCTCAAGCACCTTTGGCAGGACAAGCTGACTTCTGCTGGAGGAGGTGGACAGTGTAGGACCTGATGGCTAGCAGTTGAGCCCAGCCCTGAGACCCCTCTTCATCCCGTGTAGGGCTGGTCTCCTCTGCCCCAGAGAAGCAGCGTCCTGACACTCAACACAGCCTCTTTGCCCAGGGAAACTTTCAGGACAGCTTCCTGCACGAACCACGGGCGTTTAAAAATAGCCCAGCGGGACAAAGACAGGGTGTGGGGTCCAGGCCAGCCTCACCCAGGCCCCAGCGTTCCAGATCCCGGCCATGGGACTGCCCCTGCTGGCCCCAGCCCAGGCCAGGGTTTAGCTGCCCGGGTGGGGAGTGGAATGGGCAGAGGCGGGAGGGCGGGATCAGAGCTTTTTCCCTGGCCCCAGGTCCAGATCTGGCTGCAGCAGATTCTCAGGCCTGCTGGCAGCTCTCCTGCAGGGCGGGGCTGCGGCAGAGAAGGGCAGGCTGGAGAATCAGGGTGCTTCAGAGGCCGCCATGCCTCTTTGCCTTGGCTGGTGTTGCCCAGGGTGTGTCCAGGGCCTGTGGGTTTCACCTGAAGCCTGGCATGTTGCCCATCCCCCTGTCCCACCAGTAGTTGCTTCCACAGTCCTGCCTGGGGCTGCAGACGAGGCCCCCGATAGTCCTGGGGAGAGTGAATGAATGAAGCGAGTCTCCCTCCACATGACCACAATCGGAACATGGAGTGGCAGCTGCCCCGCTCCCTGGACGATATTTCTTATGGGGACTGGAGCAGGGTACATGGGTGTCAGGGGCCAGGGGCCTGCAGCTGTGCGTGATGGGGACTGACATTTGATGGAGGCCCTCTGGGTCCCATCCAGGGGCCCAGGCACAGACTCAGGGTGAGCCAGGCCCCAGAGAGGACAGTTTACACACACACACACACACACACACGCGCGCGCGCGCGCGCAGACCATGATGGTCTCCAGACCCTGATCTCACCAGGACATACTCAGTCACCTCAGTGGACCCTAGGTTCCCCTCACTTCTGGGGAGATGGGGGTGGTCAGCTGTGCATTCAGGGACCTGGGAACCATCAGAAGGTCAGATAGGAAGGATTGAAGGGGTGAGGTGGGGGGAGAGTGAGGGACTGAGGGTGGGACAGACAGGGGCATAGAAGGGGCTTCTGGGTTCCCAGGGGACATGCAGGTGGTGGGGGCAGGGGGTCCCAGACTTCCTGGTGCTGGGCCCGAGGGGCAGATGCCTCCTGGCCCTAGCCTTGTCCTCAGGTTGCTGCTGGGGCCCAGAGACTTTTTCTCAGCTGAGTGTGGGGCCGCCTGCAGACAGTCTTCGCTGGCAGGAGTGACGGCTCGTGCCTTCTCCTCCCTTCCCTGGACAGTCCAGAGCCTGACCACGGCATCTTTGCCATCAGGACAGGCCAGGGGGTGGGGGGGTAGGGAAGGAGGGCTTCACCCCGACCTCCGCTCACGGGCCTCGTGCCTCTCGCGCCCCCACCCGAACACACACAGAAGAGAAGTATGTCGCGGTGCAGCCGTACACCAGCCAGAGCAAGGACGAGATCGGCTTTGAGAAGGGGGTCACAGTGGAGGTGATCCGGAAGAACCTGGAAGGCTGGTGGTACATCAGGTAGGAACCCTAGTGAGGTGGAGAAATGGCCTCTGCCCCCTCTCCCAGGCCCCCAGCCCCAAGGACCCAGGCTGGTGGCAGAACATGTAGGAAATTAGTTTTGCAGGTCTGGCCTCGGCTGCCCGGTGCCCTGTGTGGTACCCTGTGTGAGTGCCTGCGCCCTGTATGGTTGGGTGGTGCCCTGTGCACTGGGCACCCAGATGCTCATGTCTGCACCCGCTGAGGTCCCAGCAGGCGGCCCCCGCAGTGCAGGACTCAGGCTTTCTCACAGATGTGGGCTCAGGTCCAGGCGCTGCTGCCCAAGGGAGGCCTCACTGGGCCTCGCCACCTCCAGGCCTAGCACATCCAGGCTGGGAAGCCCACTTGGGGTTTGGGGGGGGATTTCCCAGGGCTCTGGGAGCAGTGGCCCCGTCGGGTGAACCGCCCCTCCCTCCTGAGGCCTCTCCATTGGGACTGGCTCTGTGTGAGAAGCTCCTCCACTTCCCGCTTCAGTCCACTGCCTGGCAGAGCATCCTCCAGTCCGTGCGCTCGCTCTGGGGACCACCTCGCTCGCCTCCACACGAGGGACCCCCTTGCAGCCCCACCGTTGGCTGACTGTGGTGCTGAGCTGCCCCCCGTGGGCAGCTGAGGCGGGAGGTGGGGGGGCACAGCCCACACTGGGCCTAGGTCGTATACCCAGGCGAGAGGTCACAGGCACGATACTTCCTGTGAGCTTCTAGGACAGCCGAGGTGGCCCTGTCTGTCCTGCTCAGCGGGACACACAGACCTGGCTGCTCCCGGCAGTGCCAAGGAAGCACAGGGTCCGGGAACGGGGCACTAGCCGTGCCCGAGCTCCAGCCTCTGAGCCATCCTTGGCCCCAGAGCCCCAGCCTCCATGCTCTCAAGACCACAGATGAGAGCCAGCCCTCGAATCTGGCCACCCCACGTGGTGAGGGAGCTCGGTGGGGACAGCTCGAGGTGGAAGGCCAAGCAGGAGCCGGGAGCCTCACAACCCATGGGGGTCCCGCCCTGCAGATACCTGGGCCGAGAGGGCTGGGCGCCTGCCTCCTACCTGAAGAAAGCCAAGGACGAGCTGCCTGCCCGGAAGAAGAACCTGGCAGGCCCCGTGGAGATCATCGGGAACATCATGGAGATCAGCAACCTGCTCAACAAGAAGGCATCGGGGGACAAGGACGCTGCGCCGGGTGACAGCGAGGGCCCCGAGGCGCCCATCACCAAGAAGGAGATCAGCCTGCCCATCCTCTGCACCGCCTCTAATGGTAGCGCCCTGGGCGGACCCGACAGGACCACCGCTAAGCTGGGCCACGGCTCCCCAGCAGTGGCCCGGATTGCACCGCAGAGGGCCCAGATCAGTAAGTGCCCCCTGACTTCCGCTGGTCCCCATGTCCTCGGGACCCCCACGTCCTCCCTGACCCTCTCGTCTTCACTGACCCCGTGACCTCACTGCTGGGCTCTTTCTGGAGTGGGCCTGGGTGTAGGGAAAGCCAGTAGAAGGTTATAGGGCGTCACCATGTTGTCTTCCTGAGCTAGGCTGACCTCTCCTGGACCCACCATCCACTGTCTCAGGCCAGGCATGAGTGACCAGGCAGTGTCTGGCGGCTTCTCCACGAAGACACAGGCAGCGTGGCACCTGTTGGGGGTCGAGACGGTCACTCTGCAGATCCGCGGCTCCCTCTGGAGTGGTGGTCGGAGGGTCCCCGCTGGCCTTCTGCCCCCGGCCCTCTGCCTCCCCCGGTCTCAGGCACCTCAGAGACTCCAAGGGCCGCTTTCCTCTCTCCTCTCTCCACCAGCAGTTCTGTTTCCTTTGGGGATGGGGGGGGGGGGGGTTGGAGGTGTGCAAGGGCTCGAACCCAGGATCAGCCTGGAGAAGCAGCCCCCTGGCCCCATGAGCATTTCTTACAGGAGAACCCTATTCCGCACCTGCCCCCTAGCCTCACGGTGACAGCGCCAGGGGTTCGGGTGAAACAACTTTTCTTTACGTTAAGGTCTTCCCTGAAACCCGGATAAAAGCTGTTTCTCAGAGCCTGCATGGGGCTGGGGGGTTCTGGGGGTCCAGCCCAGGGCTCTGCCGTGAGCTGCATTCCTGAGTGCAGGAAACCGTAGTTCTGAGCTCGGCTGATGCCTGGAGCATCGGGGCACACAGTCGGGGAGCACTCGGGGGAAGGGGAGCACTTCTTCTTGCCTGGCTTTGGGATCGTTCCCGCAGGCTCAGTAGTGAATCCGAGCAGACACAAGCTCGGCTCCGAACTCTGGAAATCGGCTCTTCTCCCAGGAAAATCCCAGTGGCCTTCTCAGGGGAGGCAGCGTTCTGGAGGGTCCACGGTTCCCTGCGAGAGAACCCCAGTTAGCACCTGTAGGAGCTGACCTGGGCCCGTTGTCTGTGGGGAACAGGCACAGGGACACAGCCCTCCTCTTTGTGTTGCTGAAGCCTTGTCTCTCCTTCCAGGCTCCCCTAACCTTCGGACACGGCCTCCCCCACGCAGAGAGTCCAGCCTGGTATGTGTGCTGCCCTGCCCTGCTCCTTCCCCTGCCTCACAATTCTGGGGGGCGCCGAGGGCTGCTGGGGCCTTTGGTAGGGCCCTGCCTCCTGGGGGAGGGGGCGTCTCTTCGCTGGATGGCTTATCAGGCAGTCCCAAGCCAAATAAACCCGCGCCGGCCACTGCTGTGGCAGACATAAACATTTAGACTGACCGGTGAGGGGGCGCGGCAGGGCTGGACACATGCGCCTGACTTGCCCGGGAATGTGGGTGGACGCGGGGTCTGTGCAGGTAAGTGAACCTCCTGCGGGCAGGCGGGAGTGATGTCATGACGGTCCGGTGCTGAGCCTGCAGGGACTCATGTGTGGGGTGGGGCTGCTGGGTTCTGCCTGTGTCTGGGCCATCAGGAAGGCGAGGGGCTGGGGTGGAGACAGCTGGGCAGCGGCCCAGGAGGGACTCAGAGTCTGAGGGTTGGGCCCCTTGAGAAGGGATGCACCCGCCCCCTGCACCCCTCTCTCCTCGCTCCGCCTATCCTGTGACCCACCGTCTCCTCTCAGGGTCTGCTCTGGTGGATCTGGGGGATGGGGGGAGGTTTGGGTCACTTCTTCCACACTTGGAGGTGGGCAGTGACTGGCAGTGAGGCCTGGCAGAGCCCCCCGGGTCTCGGGCTCCAGGCTTCCCTGCTCACTTGCACCAGCTTCTTCCTGCGCCCTCCCACCCTTTACAGCCCAGCTGAGGGGCCCGGTGGGGACACCCAGGCAGGATGAAGAGGTAGCATTGCAGAAGGAGGGGTCATGCCCAGATCCAATCACAGAGCCCTCAGGAGCAACATGCATTATTAGCACATGTCGCTTCCCTTACCAGCCACTCTTAGTCCCATTTTACAGATGAGAAAACTGAGGCTTAGGTTATGGGCCTGGTGTAGGACCATGCAGCAAGGGAATCTGAGCTGGGCCAGAATCCATGAGTGCGCAGCCCTGGGGCAAAGGCCTTCCCAGGTACCTCCACTCAGACATGCTGCTGCTCATCTGAACCCATATTTATGTCCTTTGGGGGGAAAAAAAAAACAGGTGTCATGTCCAGCTGAGCTGGGGAAAGGGACCACCCAGGGGTGCTCCTGCAATGCCCACAACAGAGCGGTGCTCAAGACCTCAGTGCCTGCAGCACTGACCTGAGCCTGGCCACTTGAGCCTCTTTGCCTCTCTTCTCCCATTTTTTTTTTTTTGTTTGTTTTTTGGCCACACGGGGTGATGCCTGGGGCTTATTCCAGACACTGTACTTGGGACGGTCTCCTGGTGGTGCTGGGGGTTCCATCTGGGTGCTGGGGATGGAAACACAGTCAGCCACATGCAAGCCCAGTGCCTGCCCTCTGTTCTATTGCCCCAGCCTGCTTTTCTGTTTAGTTTTGTTCTGCTTTTTGTTTTTTGTTTTGGGTCACACCCAGCAATGCTCAGGAGTTACTCCTGGCTCTGCACTCAGGAATCACTCCCAGCGGTGCTCGGGGGACCGTATGGGATGCCAGAGGTGGGACCTGGGTTGTCCATATGCAAGGCAAACACCCTTCCCACCGCTCTCCTCCGCCCGCCCCCCCTTTTTTTTTAAATGGATCTGTTGAAGCCCAGGACACCCAGGGTGCCCAGGAGGAACCCAAGGAACCCTGGCCAGGATGGGGGCCTGATGGAGACCGACCCGGCCTCCAGAGAGCTGAAGGTTGTCCTGCAGGCGGCCCCAGGAGACACACAGTGTTGCTAGGACGAATGAATGAAGGAGGCTCGTCTGTCCCTCTGTGTCCCGTCTGGGGCTGCTGTGCTAGCTGCCAGCCTGGGGTGTGGCCTCTGCCTTAAGGGTGCGTCGGTGCTTGTGGTCATGGCATCGTTTCTGACAGAACAGAGCTGTTCTCCCCTGAACCTCCCCGTTACCCCGAGATGAGGCTGCTCCCACACCCCCATGCTTCTTTCTGCATTTGGGGCTCCCCCTGCTGAGGCCGCGGGAAGCTGGATCTCGAGCCAGGAGTGTGGATGCGGCCGGGCTAGCCAGCGGGGGCTCAGAGGTGTGGCGAGAGAGCCCGGGGCCAGGGGCCATGTGTGGGGGGTGGCGCTGATTCTGGCTGCTCTGACTGCGAGGGGTGGAGGGGTCGTGCTCACTGAGCCCCCTCCCACCCAGGGCTTCCAGCTCCCCAAGCCGCCGGAGCCCCCGTCTGTGGAGGTGGAGTACTACACCATCGCCGAGTTCCAGTCCTGCATCTCCGACGGAATCAGCTTTCGGGGCGGACAGAAGGCCGAGGTGAGCTCGCACCCAGGGCCGGGTGGGGGCGAGGCCTGGGCAGCCTCCCCCTGAGCGGCTCTCAGGGCTGCTGTGGTCGAGGGGGTGTGAGGACAGTGGCGAGGACTAAATCCCACCTGTCCCGTGATTTCTGCTGCAGGACTTGTCAGGGCCTGTTGTCGTGGGCCCATCTCTAGGCACTAGAACAGGCAGCAGTGTCCAGACTGACTCTCCCGGGGGGGTCCCTGGGAGCCAAATATCCAGAGAGCCCAATGTCCCAGGGAGAGTGGGCTGGAGGAGCACCTGGTCTTGGCCTGCTCTGCCCACTGGACCCTCGGGCCTGGGAGTCAGTCCTCCTTGGCGGGCGGCAACCTTTCTCCCCAATGGACAGGCCCAGCCCCATGCCCTGTCCCAGGTGCTACCCAAACACCTGAGCTCAGCCTGCCTTGGCCTCTAGGGGTCAGAGAGGGCCTGTGCCTTGCCTTTGGGTCCCACTGTGTCCCGCCGTCATTGACTGTCCAGATAGGATGCAGGTGGGCATCTCCCGCCTGCCCGGGCCCCAGCCTGCAGGTTTGCCATTACTTGCCTAAGCTTGGGAATCGGTTTCCAAAGCAGCCCCGTGACCCAGTGCTCCCGGACAGAACTGTCCAAGGCGGGGAATGCCTGAGTGCAGATTGCGCAGGAGTGGGCCGGGTGAGGGCTGGGGCCAGGACAAACGGGCCGACAGGAGGAGGGAAGCATAGCTTTATTGGAGGGGGCTGCAGAGGGGTCCCTGTGGCACCGACCTCCGGCGTCCTCTCTCCTCCCTCCTTTCCTTGCCCCCCGGGCCCCAATTCTCACTTCTCTCCCTTCCAACCGCCCCCTTCACCACCACCCCCAACCCCCAGGACCTCTTCTTCACATTAATCATTTTCAAGTCATTATGAATACTGAGAATCCAACACTTCGAGGGGCTGGAGCGATAGCACAGTGGGTAGGGCGTTTGCCTTGCACGCGGACAATCCGGGTTCAATCCCCATCATCCCATGTGGTCCCCCAAGCACTGCCAGGAGTAATTCCTGAATGCATGAGCCAGGAGTGACCCCTGTGCATTGCCGGGTGTGACTCAAAAAGCAAAACAAAGAGAATTCCACACTCCCTGCCAGACCTCTCCTCTGTGTTCCCCAGTCCAGATCACCCTCAGCCCTGCTCACAGCCATGCTCTTGGCCTCAAGTCCCAAATAGCAGCTAAGAAAGAAGCTTCCGGGCCTAGCACCGGGGAGACCATATTGCAGGGAGGGTGCTTGCCTGGCACTCAGCCAACTCGGGCTTGATCCCTGGCACCCCGTATGGTCTCCCAGGCTCTGCTAGGAACGACCCCTGAGTGCAGAGTCAGGAGTAAGCCCTGAGCACTGGTCCCAAAACAAACAACAAAAAAAGATGCAGAAAAAGGGGGTTGGAGCAATAGTGAAAGCAGGTAGGGTGCTTACCTTGCACATGGCTGACCCAGGTTCCATCCCTGCATCCCATACGGTCCCCCGAACACCGCCAGGATGTGAATCCTGACTACAGAGTCAGGAGAAACCCCTGAGCATCATTGGTGTGGCCTCAAAGCCATTAAAAATATATAAGAAGCCCAATGACCTGGTTCATAATGACTTGGAAACGATTAATGTGAAAATTTCCCTTCCCGTTGGAAGAACATTCAGAACATTCAATCCCCGGAAATGTCTTCCCCAGGGGGATTCCAGTGAAGTCGCATGTGTGGTGAAAAGACCTCAGATACTGGGGGTACCTCAGCCTGTGGCCCCCACTCACCCCCAGAGCCCCCTCTGCCATGATACCCCACTCCCTGGGGCCCAGAGAGATCCATCCCAGGGGTTCCACTGTCCACTGTCCTCCCGTTGTTCATCAGTTTGCTCGAGCGGGCCCAGTAACATCTCCATCATGAGACTTGTTGTTACTGTGTCTGGCATATCGAATACGCCACGGGGAGCTTGCCAGGCTCTGCCATGCGGGCGAGATACTCTGGGTAGTTTGCCGGGCTCTCCGAGAGAGGCGGAGGAATTGAACCCAGGTTGGTCAGGTTGGCCGCATGCAAGGCAAACGCCCTACTGCTGTGCTATCGCTCCAGCCCCAGGGCCTCCAGGGGCAGTAAAAGGGGTAGAGAGAGGATGGAGGTGGGGGGTACCTCAGGTAGGTGAGGTTTCATGGACCCTGAGTGAGTCTGTGGGCGCGGCCAGTACCAGTGGGTCCTGGAGAATGGGCGCCCCGCACCCCTGGGCCCTGTGCAGGGGAGAAGGGTGGTGGGCGTCTGGGTTTGAACCTGCTGTGACCAGGCCACATACATGCTCCTGGCCCAGAGTGCATCTGCGAGGTAGAGACACGGTCTCCAGGTGCCATGGACGCCTCCGAGTCGAGGAACCTCCCGACCCACTGCCTGCCCTCCCCCTCCTCCTCCCTCCCCCCCCCTACATCCAGGTCATCGACAAGAACTCGGGCGGCTGGTGGTACGTGCAGATCGGCGAGAAGGAAGGCTGGGCCCCCGCGTCTTACATCGACAAGCGCAAGAAACCCAACCTGGGCCGGCGCACCAGCACCCTGACCCGGCCCAAGGTGCCCCCGCCCGCACCCCCCAGCAAGCCCAAGGAGGCCGAGGAGGGCCAGGACTCGCCGCTGAAGGCCAGGTACGAGGAGCCCGAGTACGACATTCCCGCCCTGGGCTGCGACTCGGAGCCCGAGCCGAGCGAGGAGATGGCCGAGGACGGCGGCCCTGGGGACAAGCAGCCCGGCTCGGCCCACCGGCCCTCGCCCGCCTCCTCCCTGCAGCGTGCCCACTTCAAGGTGGGCGGCTCGGCAGAGGATGTGGCCCCCGAGGAGGAGACCATCTATGAGAATGAGGGCTTCCGGCCCCCTGCCGAGGACCCCCCATCGGCCCGGCGGTCCTCTCGAGACAGCAGCTCCCCAGGGGGCTCCCCACTCTCCCTCACCAGGAAGGACTCCCCCAAACCGGGCTCCCCCAAATCGGCGTCGCTCCTTAAGCTCAAGGCGGAGAAGAACGCCCAGGGAGGGTTGGGGCAGAGCCAGCCACCGGCCTTCTCCTCTTCCATCACCATCAACACCACGGGCTCCTCCTTATCCTCATCCTCCTCCTCCTCCTCGTCCTCCTCTTCCTCCTCCTCCTCCTCCCTGTCCAAGAACGGCAGTGGCGAACTGAAGCCCCGCTCTGCCTCGGACGCGGGCATCCGCGGCACCCCCAAGGTTGGGGCCAAGAAGGACGCCGAGCCCAAGGCCGGGCTGACCCCCTCCAGCACCCGGGCCAAGCCGTCGGTCCGGCCCAAGCCCTTCCTGAACCGAGCGGAGTCGCAGAGTCCCGAGAAGATGGACATCAGCACTTTACGGCGCCAGCTGCGGCCCACGGGCCAGCTGCGGGGCGGGCTCAAGAGCTCCCGGAGCGAGGACTCGGGGCTGCCCCCCGCCAGCGCCTCGGAGGGGCCTGGCGAAGGGTCCCGGAGGGGCTCGGCAGACACCCTCCCGCTCCCCGCCGTCCCGGCCCCGAGCCCTGCCAAGAAGGGACAGGAGGGCCAGGCCTACACCACATGCAGCGCCTACCAGAAGGTGCAGGACTCGGAGATCAGCTTCCCCGCGGGCGTGGAGGTGCAGGTGCTGGAGAAGCAGGAGAGCGGCTGGTGGTACGTGCGCTGCGGGGAGCTGGAGGGCTGGGCCCCCTCCCACTACCTGGTGCTGGAGGATGCGACGCCCGCCACGGAGCCGGGCGGGAGAGAGCCGGAGGCGGCGGCGGTGGTGGCCGGCAAGGGCAGGCAGCCCGAGGGCAAGTCGGACAGCCTGGAGAAGATCGAGAAGCGGGTGCAGGCGCTGAACACGGTCAACCAGAGCAAGCGGGCCACCCCGCCCATCCCCTGCAAGCCCCCGGGGGGCTTCGGCAAGACACCCGGCGGCGGCGGCGGCGGCGGAGCCAGTGCGGTCAAGATGAGGAACGGCGTGCGGCAGGTGGCCGTGCGGCCGCAGTCCGTGTTCGTGTCCCCACCCCCCAAGGACAACAACCTGTCGTGCGCCCTGCGCAGGAACGAGTCGCTCACGGCCACCGACGCGCTGCGGGGCGTCCGCCGGAACTCCTCGTTCAGCGCCGCGCGCTCGGCAGGGGCAGCGGCGGCCAGCGGCGAGGCCAGCGCGCGGGCCGCCAGCCCCGCGTCCGACTCGCCGCCGCTGCTGCCCGCGCAGCGCAACGGCATCCCCGTGTCCCCCGTGCGGCCCAAGCCCATCGAGAAGTCCCAGTTCATCCACAACAACCTCAAGGACGTGTACGTGTCCATCGCCGACTACGAGGGCGACGACGAGACGGCCGGCTTCCAGGAGGGCGTGTCCATGGAGGTGCTGGAGCGTAACCCCAACGGCTGGTGGTACTGCCAGATCCTGGACGGCGCCAAGCCCTTCAAGGGCTGGGTGCCCTCCAACTACCTGGAGAAAAAGAACTGACCCCCTGGGGCGAGGGGGGCTCCCAGCCTCACCCCGGGCGCGCGGGCGGTGAGATGCAGACACAGGGAATGCGAGCAGGGGTGAGGGGGGTGGGGGTGGGGGTCGGAGCTATACCCTACGGTGTGTCTGGAAGGGCAGGGGCTGCTGGGGGCACACGTGGGGCTGGGCCCCCCCCCCCGCCCCCCCCGGGCCTGGGACACCCCTCGCTGTGCACCAGCACTGACAGATTTGCCGGGGGGACACACCCCCCCTCCCCCCACGATTGTCCGATTGTGCCTTGGCTGCAGAGCTGGGACAACAGATGCAGCCCCCGGGCCTGGCATGCTTTACCCCTGCTGGCATCATTGCCACCGGAGGGCGCGCTGGTACCCGCCTCATCTGTGTTTGTGAATTGTGTGGGCTCACGGGAACAGCCCTGATGGCCTGCCAAGGGCAGGTAGATTAGCATCCACCGTGGGCCGGGGGCTCCGGGATGGGGGTCCAGCCAGGCCCCGGCCACTGTCATTGTCCCCGGGTATCAGCCAGGACACCTTTCCTGGCCATCACTGCCCCTTGCCCAGGAGAGCACCCCCAGGTTTCCAGAGAGGGGGGACCGCTGTCGTTTCTTCAGTCTGCAGGCTTGCTGGGGATTTGGAGGGGGTGGGAGGCAGTTCCTCTGCATGATTTGGGAGAGGTTTATTGATGTGGGGCTTCTGCGGAGCCTCGGGGGGGGGTTGGGTTTTGTGGGGGTTTTTGGGGGGTTTTTGTTATTTTTGGTCTTATATTAGAGTTGGTTTTGGGGCTGAGGGTGGTCAGCCTTGCGGGATGGGGTGGACCATGGCTAGAGCATTCCTGTCCCCGCCCCACCCTCAGTATGTGTGTGTGTGGGGGGACGGTTGGGTTTCGTCTCGCGTCCTTCCCCTCCACAAGCCGGCGAGGTTTCATTTGGTTTCCGCTGGGTGGACAGTACCCAAGCATCAGCAACCCTCGTTGAAGGGATGGGGGTGGGGGGGGCGAGGAGGCCCCAGTCCCCTGCTCTCTGGGTGGGGGTGCAGAGCCCTCCCCGGGAGGGAGGGAGCCCCGATCTGCACACAGGCTCCTGTGTGCCGCGTTGGCAGGTGTGGAGAAGCAGCCGTGACCCCCACCCCCACCCCCCGCCCTCCGTCCTGGACTGAGGGGTCCTTCCCCAGGCCCCTGGGGCCAGGCTGGAGTGGATCCCGCCAGCCGCCCTCCCTCCCTCACCCCTTCCCCCGGGCCAACCGACGATGCCACAGGGTCCCGAGAACTCGGGGGGTTCCCCAGGCCCCAGAGCTGAGCTGGTTTTCTTCCGAGGGGCGGTGCCCCCTGTGAAGAGAAGCGAGAAAATAAAGTCCCTGCCGCCTTCGGGTTGCGTCTCTCTGTCGTTGTTGTTTCCAGGGGACCCCAGAGGAGTCGCAGGGGCCCCCCCGGGGACCCGCCTTCGTGGAAGTGGATTTCCACTCGTGCCTTTGATCTCCCAGCCCTCGTGTGGCTGCCGGAACGTGGACTTCAGGGTTGGGGTGTCCCATGCGAGGGGCCCAGGCCCGCCCCAGCCCTGCGCCCCTCCCGTACCCCCAGGAGTGCATCTAGCCCAAGACCAGCACTGGAGCGAGGGTCTTGGTGCCTCGGGCCCCACACCAGACCCCGGGTCCCCTCTGCGCCCCCAGCACCAGGGCCTGGCAGGTAGTCAATGGCTAGTGTTCCTTGGGAAGGGACACGGTTATTTTGTTTCCTTTTGTTTGTGAGTTTGTTTTAAAAATTGAAATTAGTTATTTTCTTCTGCTGGACAGTATTAAATAGAGCAGGGTGTTGAGTTAATCTGCTAGATTGCAGTACTAATGGTAGTGGTCTAGTGTCTTCATATTAATATTATTTTGGACTTGTCTGAACAATAATGATAAAGAAGTGGTTCATTATTTTTAAAATTAATGCACTTTAATACAGTTCGGAATGGCAAGAACCCCAGAGAGCAAAGTGCATTCCTTAAAGATGCAGTATATACTTTTCTCATGTTTAAACAGCACATATTTATTAAAAGAGAAAAAAAAGAAGTAATTTATGATTATTTAAAATAAAATTTAAAAGTAGAGTGACCGTCGGGTGCAAGGCCCTCCCACGTAGCTATCTTTCAGGGGAGGCCCTGGCCTCCTTCCTCCCGTCTGCACTGAGCCAGTTGAGAGAGTCAGCGGGGTCGGGAGGGCGGGGAGGGGGGGGGTGCAGACCTCGACCAAACCCAGACCATCTCAGTCGGACTGGACCCCAGTGCTCCTGGAGCCCGCCTCAGCTACCTGCCCGCCCCCCCGGGGTCTTCCACCCCCCCCCCCCCCACAAAGCATCCCCCACACTCATAACTACACATGACCTTGAAGGTCCGTTTCCCATCCCATCCCCCTCTTCTTCCCCCCATCCCCCCCAGAATAGATCACTTGCCTGGAATGGGGCAGAGTGCGGGCAGACTCGCGCCCCCTCCCCACCCTCCCGCCCCTCCCCGCCCCAATCCTAGTTGCCTGCCTTTGCTCATCATGTTTACATTGTAACATCCAGCCCCAAAGGATGGCTGGGAGTTGCTCAAGCGGCCAGGAACCTGGGGGATGCCGCCCCCTGGTGGCCACATGCAGATCCGGCAGTGAACAGGAATCGCCAGCCCCCCGCCCCCACCCCAGCCCACCCTACCCCACCCCACCCCACTATGGTCACATCAGCCCCTAATTCACAGCAGAAACCCTGGAAACCCAAAGAGAAGAAAAATACTTGAAGCAAGAAGGGTGCATGCCAGCCCCTCTCCCAGACATGGCCTGGACTCCGAGCCCCGCCCTGGGTGAGAGACCGTCTCCCTCCAGCTGCTCAGCTGCTTTGAGAGGCTGGAGGGGACAGCTGGTCACAGGTAGACGGGGGAAGGAACCGTGGCGCTGACCCATCTGGAGAAAAGCAGGTCGGACTCAAAAAAAAAAAAATCAAGAAAAACAGGACTCTCGGCCGTGTCCACACCTAGATTCCCATTGGTTGCGATTGAAAATGTGAACTGACATTGTATTGCTGTATACTGCAACTTTAATCGTAATGAGCCCTTCTGAGGTCATTATTGAGGTTTATATAATGCCCGAAGATGCATCGCGTGGTGCTTTTTCTGTTGGTTTAAACTTGCTTCTTTTATTATAAGGGGAAAAAATATCTTCATCTCTCTCCTCCTTCATAACACCAGGCGAGGCTGGACGCCCTCTCAGTGCCGTCTCTGGGGGCCGAAGGGCTGTGTCCCTCCGCTGGGAAGGCCATGGCCAGGGCTCTGTCCTCCCAGCATCCCCCCCATCCCCCCTCCATCCCCCAGCCTGGCCCCAGAAGTGTCTTTCTTCCTCCTCAAATCTCCTCTCGACGAAGGCATTATATAGAATCGTTTTAATCACTTGCAGATGTTAGCGCTGCGCATTTTACTGGCATCTATATCCACAGCTTTCCTCGGCAAGGCATGTTACTACTTTTATCATCTAAGGAATAAAGACAAGGGGATTTGGTCGAGCGTTATTTTCATATTACTAGTGCTTACAGAGTAGGAGTTAGGACTATTTAAATTTAGACTTTGGTTTGGTAGTTTATTTTGTTTTTAAGGGGGGGGCGAAGTCACCCCTTTTTCCTGTTTTTGTATTTAACTAATATATTACTTCTCTAAGATTACTCCTCGCTTCTCCTACTCCCTTCGAATACCTTGCATTCTCAATGGAAAATGAAAACAATCTTGAGAGACAGGAAAAGTGCAATATTACCCAGAAAGATGCCAGGGCTTGTTGGCACCACAGCTTGAGACTCAGGTCTCGGGGGGTTGGAGGGGAGGGATGGAGATGATGAGTCCGTAATAGGGAGACGGGGTTGCTGGTTGGTGCGGATTGGGAGGAAGCCCATCGTCTCCACCTTCTCTCTTCCCTGGCAAGGTGGGGGGCGGGCACCAGAGTGCAGCCCCTCCTGGAAGGTGTCACCCAGCCCGGATTAACCGGAATGCAGAGAGGTGCTGGGGCACAGCCCCTGGGGCAGAGCAAGAACATGTGCCCCTTCCTTGCTCCCGCTGTCTGCCCACAAACACCCCCACCCAAAGCCCCCCACCCCCCGCCCAGAAGCCCTCTCTGGCTGGGTCTCCTGAGTTTAGAGCCTCCCGTGGATGTCCGAGACTGACTCTGTCTAACCTCAGCTCCGCTTGTGGGCAGGACCCCAAGAGCGAACCAGATCCTTCCTTCCAGGGACGTGGGTGCCCTGTCCTCTACCTACTTGGGTCCATGAGGCCTGGTGCTGGGCTCCGGCCACCCATTCATCTCAGTGCCCTGCCTCTGCTCTGCACCCCTCCTCCCCGAGGAAGGGAGGGGTCTCCAAGAATCATTTAGGGTCTCTGCGGGCACACACCTCCCCCCTGCAGGTAGCAACCAGCGTCCACTGAATCTGGTGGGCAGAGGTCATGGTGGGATGGGGAGTGTTGCCAGACCCTCGGAGCCCCGCCCTGCTCACCCCAGCGCTGTACCAGCTGTGCCAACCACGTGGCTCTGCCAAGCTGAGCAGTGAGTGTGCCCAGGCGTGGGGCATCCCCGTGGGCGTAGGGAGAAGCGGGCCCACGGGGAACAGGCCCCATGAGGAGTTTCCCTCCAAACGCTCCATCTTCCGGAATCTCCCAGCAGACCTCTCGGGAAAGGACATCTGCTTTCCTGAAAAATGAAGATTCCCTGTCTTTTTTTGGAAGGCCGGGTGTTGTCAAGCAAGTGCGTGTCTGTGGCATGTGTGCATGCATGTGTCAGTCATTTCCCACTTGAACTCCATGACCAGGATCAGAGGGGGAAAGCCTTGGGCAGGAGGCTCCATCCAGGATGCCCTGGGCAGTAGGCAGGCCACTCGGGGTTCCGTTTTGGTAGCATGTGTTTCCCATACACCCAGAATTCAGGCTGGAGAGTGCAATGTGTCTTTTATATATATATATATAATTATAATATTATTATTTTATTAAGTATTTCGTTGGAAATTTCACACTGGCATTAACAGAATTAGCAGAAGCAACCCAGGCCATCGACCCAGGCTCCAAAATGAATATGTGAGGAAAAAGATGCCCCGGGGGGTAGGGGGGAGTGCTCCCAGCACATCCTCGTTCTGCCCCTCCAGGAAGGGCAGCTCAGTGGGACCCGCTGCTCCCCTGAGCCCAGCACCCCAGCGCGGGACCCATTCTTCCATTCCTGGGGTCTGACTGCAACCCCCAATGAAGCTTTATGAGAATCTGTGCAGGAACCCCTCTGGCACTCTGAGCTTCTTCCCTACATTGCGATTCCCATTCGGGTTGCCGCCTGCCTCTGGGGTCCACAGGCTCTTCCATCGAAATCAGTGACCTCGAGCCCCATTGATGGGCGCGTCCCTCCGCTACCCCATCCTGTGCACCAGGCCTAAGTCGGCACAGGAGTGCTTAGGGCCTGAATGGGGCTGAGGGGAGCTCTAACCACCCATGGCCTGGAACTGAGCCTGTAGGGGTTACGTGGGACATCCCCTTCCCCGGTTCTTTTCACTCTTGAGTTTGCACTTGTCCTTGACAATCAACACCTTCTCCCGTGGCAGTCTTTGATCTTAGTGGCCTTAGTGGGAATGGGTCCTGCCAAAGGTCCTGCCTTGCTCCCAGTTTCATCCTGACTAATGGGCTGGCCTGTAGAAGGTGAGAGGGAGGGTGAGAGAGAGAGAGAAAGAGAGAGAGAGAGGGAGGGGGAGAGAGAGAGAGGAAGGAAGGGAGGGAGGAAGAGAGGTTTCAAATCGTTTTAAAGCAAAGGTTGAGCATGTCGACGGGGAGAGAGAGATGTGGGGAGAAGCGTGTGTGCATGTCTGTGCTGGCTGGAGCTTGTTGTCCCTTCTCGGGGGCAGCGGCCTACCAGAAGAGGGTGTCCTCGAGGTAGAAAGGGAGAGAGAGACAGCTTGAGCGGGGGCTTGAAGTCTGGAGTTTGTCTTTATTGGAAGGAAGAAGTCATTTGTTTCGGGAAAGAGAGCAGGGAGGGAGGGATCCAGGGAGGTAACGCCTCTGGCTGCGTTCGGAGTAGGCCGGGAGAGCCCCAAGAGTGGGCCATGGGGGAAACAGGCCAGAGCTTTTTTTGTGGGGCCACAGCTGGGTCCCCAGCAGGTACTGGTCACTGACGTCATGGACACGGGAAGTCACCAGCAGTGTGTTTGGGGACCTGCCTCTCAAACATTCCATGCATCATCCAGGTTTCCAGCTGTTTTTGCCCACTTGCCTTTGTCCAATCCAGAGTTAGCCTCTCAAATTGCTTGAGTCAGCTAAAGCCCAGTGACTGGAACAGGCCGAGTCCCGAAACCTCAGACACGGATGAGGGCCCCATCGCACGCCTGAGGGGCCACTGGTGTTGGTGCGTTCATAGACCAGGCTCATTTTCTCAGGACCCACCTGGCTGGTGTGAATGGGAAGGTGGGCGCCTTGCATATACCCCTTCACCCCAGATCCCCGGGTGTGCTACCCTGACATTCCTTTCGAGGGAAGAAGGGTGCACGGAGCCCCCATTCCTTAATCTGCCATTTACAGACTTCCGGGGGGGTTCCAGTGAGGCTGGGAACAGGGGTGTAGATCGTCGATTGGGAAGGGAGATGGGGGGGGCCTCCAGTCCTCTGAGAACTCATGGTTCCCCTCAATCCCTCCCAACTCCAAGTAGGGATCTTTGAGGTCAAACCCCACCTCATCTCCCCCAACATAGAAACTAACCAAAAGGATCTTGAATTCACTGTCAATTTGAGTGCTAAATAATGTCCCAGGGCAGTGCTGGTGCTAAATGATTTCCATGTTTTGAATAATTTTTAGTTTTTTTTGTTGTTGTTGTTATCAGAAAGCAGCGTCCTTGGGAGGGGTCCCCATGCCTTGGTCACTCTCCAGGGGTCTTTTATCCCTTTCACAGGATTTGGGTCTGCAGGAAAAAAGAAAACTCTATCTTGGCATGCTTCTAGACTGTAAAATTTGGGTTTGTTTCGTTTTGTATTTTGTTTATGTTTACATGCATCTTGTATTTCCCTGAGAACTAAATAAAGTTTTCGGCCTTTGTAACTGCATGGACTCACCTCTTCATTCCTCCTGATGGTTAAAAGACGCATCCAGAGGAAAGCAAAAGTCCTGAGTACCACCCCCTCCCCCGCCAACACACGCATACATACGCACGCATGCGCACATACATACACATCGTATGCGCACTGACTGAAGGATGGGTAGCCGGGTGGGCAGAGCCTCCCCTCCCCCCACCATCATCAATAGAAATGATGCTCAGCTCCTCCCGCATCCTTGCTTTGAGAAATTCAGAGACCCCTTGGCCCTTGGTGCTTCCCTATTCTGGGTGGGGCTGGGGTCCTGAACGGCCCACTCACCGCTATTCAAGCCCAGGCCGGGGACTAGGCAGCTGACCACAGGAAGGCAGGAGCATCGTGTGCCTCTGCGGCCGCCTGGTCCACCCAGCGAACGTGCACTCCTGGCTGTGCCTCGGCCCCCAGCAGCGGCGGCAGCCTGATGAACTCCAGAAGTCTGCCCTGGACCCCGTATCACCTGTTTGGTACAGACCTTTGCTCCCGCTCTGGAGACCTGCTGTCTCCCTACTGGTCCCTAGGTGGCGCTGGCCCTCCGTATGGGTTGTCGATTGGGTTTGGGCTGCTGGAGGCAGGGGAGGGGGGTTGCATTCCAGGTGGGCAGGTGGCTCTGTGGAAAAGCCTGAGACCGACAGCTCTCACGGCGCCCACGTGAGCGCATGTGCACACACACACACACACACACACACACACACACACACACATCCACAAGGAATTCCAGTTCCTGCTGACACAAGTCAGTCCCCCACCCCCTCCAGAGAGCCTTCCTTGATTGTGGACCTTAATAAAGGTCACATGACACGCCCACCCCACCACTCACACTCCCCAGAGAGGCCCTTTCCCCGGTGCCCACACTACATACACAGCCACAGCCCTCAGGCTGGTACGAAATCACCTTTATTCACAATCACAGAGACCCGAGTTCACACTGAGGGACGATGGACAGAGGGTTTCTGACCTCGGGTCCCAGGCCCCTGCCGTGGAAACCTGCCTTTGCCTCCGAGAGGGGAACCCCTGGCGAGGTGTGGCCACCCCCACCTCCAGAAAGACCCTCCAGACTTAGTGATGAGGCCCCACAGGCCCCCTTGCAGCGCCGGTGCTAGGAGCCACACAGGAAATCCCCCCCAACACACACGCACTTTAGAGAGGTGGGGGCTGAGACCGAGGGTCTCCCTGGGATGTTCGAGCTCCCCCCTTGAGGGACAACTCTGCCGTGGGCACAGCTCAGAGCAGGGAGCAGCAGCTCCGGGGGTTGCCCCTTTCCTGGAGGAGGGGTTCCCCGTCCTCAGCCTTCCTGCGCAGAGGGTCCCCTGGGTGCCTGCGCTGTCCACTCTTGGGCCTGAAGGAGCCGTCTGCAGGCGACTCGACAGCACACAAACCGGGACACCCCCATGCCGCCCCTCCCCGGGGAGCCCAGCTCCGGAGCAGCCGCTCAGGGATGCCTCTGCGATCCCTCTAGCCCAGGGGGTCCTGGGGTGGGCACGTATGTGGGTCACCTGGCGGGGAGGGGTGGGGCGGGCACAGCCTCCAGTGCCCTCGAGGGGAGAGCTGTTGGTTCTCTCCAACAAGGCAGGTCTCCAGGGGATACTGAGAGATTGTCGTTGTTGTTGTTGTTGTTTCTGCAAAGGGGGCAGTAGGCCGGACAAATTTGGAAACCACTGCTCTAGCCCATTCAGAACAAACGAACAAAAACAAAACGAGAAAGGAAAAAAAAACACCCAAAACTTCAAATAAATAAATAAGTTAAAAGAAAAGAAGGCTGCTCTTCCCCCAGGGCCCCTCCCTACCCTGCCTGTCCCCCACCCCACCCCCAACACACACACACACACAGGGCCCTGGACTTCCATGGGGTGGGGGTGGGGGCGCATCGGCCAGGTCAGGGGAGCGCTGAGATGTGGGGGTGGTCAGGTCACAGAGGAGGTGCCAGCCGACCCGGGAGATCCTGACCAAGCCGGCCCCTCTCCCACCCCATGCCATGGGCTGGGCCCACACAGCAGCGATCCATGAGATGATCAGGCGGACAGGCCGGCCGAGGGCACCGGTATGGGGACAGAGCGGCCCAGCGCGGCCTGAGCCCAGGGACGGGGCCTGCAGGTTGCAGCCTGGCCGGGCCGAGGCGGGCCCTGGGGTAGGAAGGCCAGTTCAGGCTGGGCCTGTCCAGGGCCACAGCAGAGCAGACCGTGTCCTGCTCGGGAGCTGACAGCAGCTGGCGGCGGGACCCGACGCAGGCCCTCGTCCACTCCATGCCTCCCCTAGCCAGGTCACAGGTCCGGGCTTGGGGCCGCACCCCCTCAACAGGGTGCCCACGTACATTCTTGCAAAGGTGCTCCAGGGCTTGGACGGGGCCTCCGGAAATCTGCGCCCAGTGGAAGGACGTCCAGTGGAAGGACAGCGGGGACAGGCTGAGACCCGAACTCAGCCTCCAGGTCTGCAGAGAACATGGGTCTGCTCTGCAACAAGGGCCCAAGAGGGGGGTCTGGCCAAGGCCCCCTCCCTGTGTCCGCCCCCTGCCTCAGAGCCCCTCCGTCGTCATCATCATCATCGCTGAACCGTCAGAGGACGCGTTTTCCCGCCTTTACTGGAGAGGGGAGGGGAAGGCAGGGGCCGCCCGCGGCCTAGGAGCTGCGGTAGGTCTTGATAATGTCCTTGATGGGGCGGCGGCAGATGGGGCAGCAGGCGTGCAGGGCCTTCTTGAGGCGCAGGCCGCAGGCGTAGCAGAGGCACATGTGGCCGCACGTGTAGATGACCGTGTCCACCGTGCGCTCGTAGCAGATGGTGCACTCGTCGCTCCAAGGGCCGGGGCTGCCTGGAGACTCGGGCAGGCTGACTGGGGAGTTGGGAGCCGTGCCTGAGGACGCATGGGGGACACCCCTCAGGGAGAGCCAGGAGCCTGGTCTCTGGGCCCCCGTTGCATGACTCACCCACGGACCCCGACCCGCACCCTGAAAGCTGGGGGCAGTGGGAGAAGGGAGGGGGAGCCCTCTAGGTGCCCCGGACAGGTTTCTCCCGAGCTACCCCTCGGTGGCCTAGGAACAGTGATTGGCCGAGAGTCGGGGTGAGAAGCACCCAGAGGTCAGCACAGCCCCCTCCGGGGGGTGGGGGGGGCGGCACCTGGCCTCGGGCGCAGTGGGGGTCCAGGGGAGGGGTGGCTACTCACCGCCAGCAGAGCTGCCCGGGGGCCCAGAGCTGCAGGGGCTGAGCAGGGGGTCCGAGAGGTGGCTAAGCAGGGCACTGGGTGAGGTGGGCGTGGAGGCCGGGGAGCAGGACAGGGACGGGGCACCCCGCTCTGCCAGGATGGTGGAGCCTACGGCAAGGGAAAGGGTCCACGCTCGCCACACCTTCGTCCCACTTTCCAGCGGTTTCCGGGGGAGAGAGCGGCCAAGGCCAGCAGTGCCCAGGCTGGCGTGGTGTCCTGACCACCCCTGTACCTGCTCCTGCACGCATGGGAAACCCAGTGCATGCCCTGGGCCTAGATTCTAACACACTTTCAAAGTTCCTGTGCCCAAGCTGGCACAATGGGCCGCCATGCCCCCGCCAACCTCAGCTCCTGGCCAGGGTCCTGCACACCACCACCTCACCACTGCCCAGCTTCCCACACCGTCCCACTCTTGTTCCAAATCCTTCCCTCCCCCACCCTCTCCCCCTCTTCTCCCACCTTTCTCCTCCCTCCTTCCCCCTCTCCCCTCTGCAAGTCCTTGCTGAGAAATGGGAAGCTAGACCAAGAGGATCCTGATTCCCAAGGAGCCTGGGGTGGGGGGTAGGGGGCCTTTCCTGAAACTCCTCTTCTGCACAGACAGCCTGACTCCACACACCCACATGGCCCTCCCGTACACAGCACTGAGCACCCACGGAGCCTGGGCTGCCCTTTGCCCAGAAATCCAGCTGTTTCCCAGTTAAACCTAGAGTGAGTTCCCTGGAGCAGGAAATGTTATCCACCAAGGACTCTTCCATGGGACCTCCAATAATGCACCATAAGCCAGGAGGTACTCAATGAGATCTTTTTCTTTTTCTTTTTGGGTCACACCCAGCGATGCATAGGGGTTCCTCCTGGCTCTGCACTCAGGAATTACCCCTGGCAGTGCTCAGGGGACAGTATGAGATGCTGGGAATCGAACCCGGGTTGGCCGTGTGCAAGGCAAATGCCCTACCCGCTGTGCTCCAGCCCTTTCTTTTTCTTTTTTTTTCTTCTTTGTTGTTGTTGTTCTTTGACTTTTTGGCTTTTTGAGTCACACCCAGAGATGCTCAGGGGTTGTTCCTGGCTCTGCACTCAGAAATTACTCCTGGTGCTTGGGAGACCATATGGGATGCTGGGTGGGGATCAAACCCGAACCGACTGCAGCAAGGCAAACACCATACCCACTGTACTATCACTCCAGCCTTCAGTAAGATATTTTTGTCTTGTTTTGTTTTTGTTTGTTTTGTTTTGTTTGTTTTTTGGGTCACACCCAGCATTGCACAGGGGTTACTCCTGGCTCATGCACTCAGGAATTACTCCTGGCGGTGCTCGGGGGACCATATGGGATGCTGGGAATTGAACCCAGGTTGGCCGCATACCAGGCAAATGCCCTACCCGCTGTACTATCGCTCCAGTCCCTCAATAAGATATTTTTATCTGTAGTTATTAGTTCCAAGTCCTTTAATTAGTCTTGTTGCTGCTGATCGTATTTTTCATGTGTCCACAGGGCTTCCTTATTTGTGACCAGCGCCTTCAGAAATTCATATATTCTGCTTGCTTTTCTTATCTCATTGCATTGGCTCTCATTTTCAGAGCAAACTTGTGAAGGATTCCTTGTCCATGCCTAAGCTCAGCACTTCTAGAGCTTCACTACTTAGGGTGACGGGGCTATAGCTCCGGAGTGAAGACAGTCAGTCGCTTTCACTCATTCAGAGCTCAACAAACTCAAGCATTTCTTTCAAGCAGCTGTCTTCAACAAGGTGAATCATTGGTCTCTGTGGTAAATAATCATTTCCCCTCACACACTGCCACTGGTTTAGTTTTGCTTGGCATTCTGGCAGCAAAACCCATTTGCTGGTTAATATGCCCAGTTCTCTTTCCAAATAGATCAGGGTTCCTCTCTGGATAAACTGCTTTTCAATGCCCACCTTGGCTGACTTATCTCTTGGGACATTTTTATCCTGATTTTTGTTTTCTTTTCCCACCTTTGCTCCAGAAGTTGGGCAACAGAAGTGTTTTTGGAAAGCCATGTACCTATTATTAGATGATGCTGAGGTCAGAGCACTTCGCTTCCCGTGGGCCACTTACGGACTCCCTTCGTTCAAGGAGCATCGGCTTCCCAGGAGTGTAGGCAAAAAATCTTCCTACCTTAGTCCAGTTTTTCCTGCCTCCAGCCTCATTTCTTTCCATCCTATTCTGAACTTTTTCACCCAGACTTCTTTAACTCCCTGATGTCTTTTTTTTTTCCTTTTTGGGTCACACCCAGCGATGCACAGGGGTTACTCCTGGCTCATGCAATCAGGAATTACTCCTGGCGGTGCATGGGGGACCATATGGGATGCTGGGAATCGCACCTGGGTTGGCCGCATGCAAGGTAAACACCCTACCTGCTATGCTATCTCTCCAGCCCCATAACTCCCTGATGTCTTTTTTTTTTTTTGCCTGTGGGGGCCACTGCTAATTGTGCATGAAGGCGGGGGTCACTCCTGGCATTGCTCAGGGAACTCTGCGGGGCCAGCCCGGAATCGAACTAGGGATTCCCATTTGCAATACATACACCCAGCCCATTGGCTCAGGGACACATTTCGCATCGGGGACTCAACAGGGGCCAGCTGTGTGCGGTTCAAGCCTTTCCCTCGGGCTCCTGGCCTCCCTTCTCTCTGCACCCCAGTCTCACTTCTTTCCATTCCATTTTAAAGTTCTTTTTCTGTTCCGTCTTCATTTCGGAGTAGGGAGCCTCCAATGTTTTTTTTTTTTTTTTTCATCTCACAGACTCAAACTGTCACCTTCCCAGCATCACTGAATATATCCCAGACTGCTGGTAGTTCCTCTCTCTGCACCGCACGCCGCTCCCAGAACAGAACTCGGGCTCCAGCCCTGTGGGCTACCTCCGGTCTCCTACCCCCGCCCCCCCTTTTTTTTTTATCTTATTAAGTGATCCCGATGCGTATATATGTACGGGTAGAACCAGGCGCTCGCTCTTGTGCATACGCAAGCCCGCCACCCACTCTCTTCCCCACCCCGGGGGTGCATCGGCTGAGCTTCAAGGGTCACTGACCGGAGGATCGAAGAGTCCCCGGTACCTCCTGCATTCATCTCGGGCCTCCGCCCCCTTGGCCAGTCCAGCAGAGACGTTGGCAGGGTGGGGGTGGGGGGGTGCGCACTTACCAAGGATGCGAATCTGCGTGACCGCCCCGTGCAGGCTGAAGAGCATCCAGAGCGGCTGCGAGGTGTCCACGCACAGCTGCATGCCCGCGGCCGCTCCGTTGTGGCTGAGATGCAGCTCGCCGTCGCCGTTGACCACCAGGCCCAGGATGTCGCCGCTGTGCAGGGGCCCCGGCGCGCGGCACACGGCCCAGAACTCCTTGCGGTCCACCAGGGCCTCGGGGCTGAAGGGCAGGTCGGCGGGGCGCAGCGTGCACGGGTCGCACGACGTGACGCCGAAGGACAGGCCGCCGGGCCGCGCGCCCCCCGAGCGCGTGACCTTGACGAAGAGGGTCTCGGCCACGCGCACGGGCCGGCTGGTGAAGACGAGCGCGCGCTCGTCGCGCCCGTGCTCCAGGCGCGCCACCGTCTGCTCGTCCAGGATGCGCACGTGCGCGCCGGCGCGCAGCGCGTGGAAGCGCAGGTCGCCGTCCAGCTGCGCGGGCAGCGCGCGGCTGTGCTGCGAGTTGAGCGAGTTCTGCGGGACGGCGCCGCCGTGGGCAGGCGGCGGGGCCTCGTCGCCGTCCGCGCCGCCCGGCACGTTGAGGTCGCACAGGCTCACCGACAGGCGCGCCTCGTCCGCCTCGCGCCGCAGCGACGGGCGCCGCAGGGCCGTGAAGGAGCGCGGCCGCAGGCAGTCGGGCAGCACCAGCTCGCTGTCTGCTCCGGGGACGCGGACACACACGGAGGGAGAGAGAGAGAGGGGGGGGGGCGGGGGTGGGGGCGTCACACGGGGCCACGCGCGCACGGCCCCCGCCCCAACCCCGAACTGCCAGGTCCGGTGCAGAGAGGGGAGAACCCAGCCTGGCCACGCTTTCATTGCAAGGCGGGAGGGAGCGACGGCAACATGTATAAAGCAAGGTGCTTGCCGGTGCCCGGCTGCTGAAAGTGTGGGCTTTGGGTTTCACTGCACTCCTGGGGACCCGCCCGCCCCATCCCCAGCGGCTACAAGGTTGAGCTCTTGAATGCAGTTACTGGCTGTTGAGCGGGGGGGGGGGGGGGGGGGGGGGGGGGGGGGGGGGGGGGCAGAGTGATAGTATGACAAGGTAGGGCGCTGGCCTTGCATGCAGCTGACCCTGGTTGGATCCCCAGTGTCCCGTTTGGTTCCCCCAGAAGACCCACCAGGAGCGATTCCTGAGTGCAGAGTCACGCCCTCAACACAGCCAGCTGTGGGCCCTCCCCTTCCTAATAAGATAAAGATTTGTTGAGTGGGCTTGCTTGCAGCCTGCCATATTGGGAGCTCGGAGGGAACCCCCTTCCCCAGGATCCCTCTCTGCATCACTGCTTTCATCTCAATTTACCAGTTATGCTGAAAGTGTCCTACCCTAGGAGGCTATAGGGATACTTGGGGTTATCCAACCGTTTTCTCTTTTTTTTTGCTTTTTGCATCACACCTGGCATTGCACAGGGGTTACTCCTGGCTCTGCACTCAGGAATTACTTCTGGCGATGCTCAGGGAGACCATATGGGATACTGGGAATCGAACCCAGGTCTGCTGTGTGCAAGGCAAAAGCCCTACCCGCTGTGTAATCGTTCCAGCCCCCAACCTTTTTCTCTTTTCATGTATTATCATACTGTAGTTTGTAGAAAAAGACCGCTGATAAAAAAAAAATAATAACTCCATTATCCCACTACCCAGAGGAAAAAAACTTCACTGATATCTGGATTTCCAGCCTTTTAGTCAAGGTCTATTATTACCATTTTTCACCTTTAACAAATCCTTTTGAAGATGTGATCACTTTGATCTAGTTTCTCAGGAAACACACACACACACACACACACACACACACACACACACACATTCTCCCTTGAGTCTGAATAATTTTAGAACATCTGTGAATCCTATGAAGTCAGCCAGAGACAGAGAACCCTGCCTAGGCCCCTACTCTTAAAGATCTTCCCTGGGGGGCACTGTAGCACTGTCTTCCCGTTGTTTGCTCAAGTGGGCACCAGTAATGTCTCCATTGTGAGACTTGTTGTTACTGTTTTTGGCATATCGAATACGTCACAGGGAGCTTGCCACGCTCTGCCGTGCGGGCGGGATATTCTCAGTAGTTTGCCGGGCTCTCTGAGAGGGGCGGAGGAATCAAACCCGGGTGGGCCGTGTGCAAAGCAAACGCCCTACCCGCTGTGCTATATGGCTCCAGCCCACAAGGTGGAGGTGAGGGGGAAGATTTGGTTCACACCTGGCTGTGCTCAGGGCTTACTCCTGGATCTGCACTTAGGGATCACTCCTGGCAGGACTCAGGCGACCACAAGGGATGTCAGGTATCGATCCCGGGAAGGTTGCAAGGCCAGTGCCTTCCTCACTGTGCTATCTCTCCAGCCCCAGATTTCCCTTCTCATTCTTGCTTTCCTTCTGTCCTGAACATCTTTCCAGGCCAACAACTGTCTCCAGTCCCTTATTCCTTCAGGGCCTCTGTTTTGTTTCATTGCTTTGAATTTTTTTTTAAATTGAATCACTGTGATATAGACCATTACAAAGCTGTTCATGATTAGGTCTCAGTCATACAATGTCCCAACACCCATCCCTCCACCAGTGTGACCTACCAGCATCAGTGTCCCCAGTTTCCCTCCCACCCCTCCAAGCCACCCTCACCTGCCTTTTTGGCAGGCAACTCCCTTCTCTCTCTCTCTCTCTCTCTCTCTCTCTCTCTCTCTCTCTCTGTCTTTCTCTTTCTCATTTTAGGCATGGTTTGCAATACAGATGACGAAAGGTTATCAAGTCTATCCCTTTACCTACTTTCAGCACTCAGTTCTTGTCCACAGTGATAATTTCCAACTACTCTTGTCTAGTGACTGTGTTTCATCCAGCATTGTGGAGCCTGTCACTCATCCTAAACATCCTGTCAGCCATCGTGAGTAACCCGGCAGCCCATCCTGCACACGGCCCCTGCAGGTGGTCCCGTTTCACAGAGAGCGCTAAGATGTCAGCTGGGGGGTGGATTGGTGGCAGAGACCCCCCCCCCATACACACACACACTGCCAAGCCAAACCCCACCCCTCCAGGACGCTACGGGACAGTGGCTCAGCAGCAGCTCCAGAACAGAGGCCATTCCTGGACACATTCTTCGCTTTCAGACCCTTCCTGCTCACTGGACCCCTATTTGAGAGCTGGAGCACCCATGTCCAGCCAGGGCCTCTTCTCTGTGCCTCGCCGAGTGAGATGGAAGCCCACTGTGCAGGCAGTGGGAAAGGGTGGACATGAGGGGCAGTGCCCTCGTGTGGGAGCAGAGGTGCTGCCCCGGTGACCGCACCAGGCCAGTCCAGAGGGGCCACAGTTCAGGCCCAGCTGACATCCAGGGTGGGCTCTGAGCTGCACGGCCTCCTGGCCCCTTCCAGGCCAGAAGAGGGTCCTGGGTTCCCCAGAGCCCCCCGCCTATCTGGAGCGGGTCCTTGGGGCCTGCTTGGCTGGGATTTCCCAGCAGCGTGCTTGGCCAGGAGGACAGAGCCGGCCGGAAAATGCGATTATTCCGGGGAATTGACTCTCTGACAGCGAGTGTGCCGAGAGGCTGGGGGTCTGCAGGAGGGAGGGACCCAGTGACAAGAGCGGTGGGGGGGGGAGGGGGCTGGGCTGGCCTGGAGCCCAGAGAACAGCCCCTGCTCTGGCTCTTCAGGGATTCCAGGCAGCTCCTTCAGGGATCAAGAAGGCGGGCACCAGGCAGGAGGAGGGGGATAGCAGGAGGAGGAGAAAATAAGGGCTCCGAGGAGTCCAGCCAGGCCAGCAGCCCAGGGCGCCCAGAAAGAGGGACTCCCCGCACCCCTCCTATCCCACACAGCCCACACAGAGGCCCCGGAACTGCGCAGTCTGCAGCAGAACCTTTTGGAATCAAGCTGTGCCTCCAGGAAGATGCCCACCGCTGTATGCCCCCACCGCATGTGTCATGCCGCCAGCACACCCTCTGGGCTGCCAACACAACCTCCCTGCGCGGACGTCCACAGCCTCGAGGGCACCTCTCAGAGTTACCTCAGGAAATTCTCTGAGGACTGCACCCACGCCTTCCCCTGAGGACCCCTGGCCCTTCCAGAGGGTCCTCCCAGACCACAAACAGAACCGGTCTCGGGGCTGGCTTGCCATATGCCCTCACCAGCTCAGTGAGGCCATCACCTGCCTTGCTGCATGCCATACTTTGAATAACACCAACCCAAGAGTATTCTAGGTTCACCAGTGACCCTGATCTAGAGACTGTTCAGCAGGAGAGAGCAGATTGAAGGGCACAGGCTGAGAAGTGGTTGTGCTGGGTTTGTAGCTATCAACTCGGTTCCCGGAGAGCCTCGGGCCAACAGCTGGACCCCCTGGAATCTTGCCATTTCAGTATCCACCCCTATCGGGGTGGGCTTCTGGATTCTAAGGTGGGACCTCCCAGCAGCGGGCTTGCTAAGGAGGAGGGAGCAGTCTCAGGAGGGGCCCTCAGATGGAAGCGGACATAGAGGTACTCACAGCAGAACCTGGCACACCAGCCCCCCCGGGGGACGTGACCTTTGTCATCCTCATTCACAAACCCCATGGCTCAAAAGGGGAGGCGTGGGCTTTGGGATGATGCAGCCTGGGTACCGCATGCTAGGAGACCTGTGGCTCAGCAACAGTGCTCAGAGCTCTACTGGGAACAGAACACCTGCCTTGGGCTGAAGGTGCAGGTCGTGAGGGAAGATGGGCCTCAAAAACCTGAAAATTCCAGGTCATTTCCCTGAAGGGCAGATGCGCCTGCACCCCTTTCCTTCATGGTACTTGAATGTTACACTTGCCAGTGGTCCTGATGGGCACCCAAGGCACAGTGAGAAGTTACAGCAGCAGGGATGGGGGGAGGAGGAGGAAGGAGGAAGAAGGAGGAAGAAGAAGGAAGGAGGAGGAGGAGGAGGAGGAGGAGAAAGAGGAGGAAGAGGAGTAGAGAGAAGAAAAGAAGACAAGAAGAGAAAGAGAGAGATAAAGAAAGAAAGAAAGAAAGAAAGAAAGAAAGAAAGAAAGAAAGAAAAGAGAAAGAAGAGAGAAAGGAAAGAGAAAAAAGAAAGGAAGGAAGGATGGAAGGAAAGAAGGGAAGAGAAAGAAGAGAAAAAAGAAAAAGGAAGGAAAGAAAGAGAGAAAGAAGGAAAGAGAAAAAAGAGAGAAAGAATGGAAGGATGGATGGAAGGAAGGAAGAAAGAAAAGAGAAAGAAGGAAAGGAAAGAGAAAAAATAAAAAAGAAAGGAAGGAAGGAAAGAAAAAGGTAGGGAAGGAAGGGAAGAGAAAGGAAAGAAAGAAGAAAAGAGAAAAAAGAAAGGAAAGGGAAGGAAGGAAGGAAGGAAGGAAGGAAGGAAGGAAGGAAGGAAGGAAGGAAGGAAGATGGATGGGGCCAGAGCAACAGTACAGAGGGAAGGGAGTTTCCTTACACATGACCGATCTAGGTTCGATCTTTGGCATCCCATATGGTCCCCAGAGCTATGCCAGGAGTAGTTCCTGAGTACGGAGCCAGGAATAAGGCCTGAGCATCATTGGGTATGACCCAAAAAAGCCAAAAAAACAAAAACAAGGGAGGAAGAAAGGCAGCAAAGTCTGGCCTTGCTTGGTCTGGGAACGAAGGGGCAGGAGATGCTGGGAAACAGCTAAAAACGGAAACGGAATCCCTGGGGCAGAGCCAGCTGAGTCTACCTTTCACCATTCCCACCGGCCCACAGGGGCAGGA